TTGTTGCGAAGACGTTAGAACAGCTACGGGAACGCACGACATTGGTACTACAACGCATCAGTGACAATGGTTTCCGGTTACGCCCAGAAAAATGCCAGTTTCTATTGCAGTCGGTAAAGTATTTGGGATTCATCTTTGATGCCGACGGTCGCAGACCGGATCCTGAAAACATCCGAGCTATCAAACTGATGCCCACTCCCACTAATGTCTCCGAATTACGATCTTTTCTCGGTTTAATCAGTTATTATTCAGCTTTTGTTCCCTCGATGCATGATATTCGCGCTCCATTGAATTGTCTACTGCAGAAGCATAGCACATGGAACTGGACTAAAGAGTGTGACGCGGCTTTTGGTAAACTCAAGTCTATAATTAGCTCGGAATTGTTATTAACACACTACGACCCATCCATGCAGATCATCGTAGCAGCAGACGCTTCAGCATACGGCCTAGGTGCTGTTATTTCACATCAGTTTGCAGACGCGTCAGAAAAAGCCGTTATGCATGCATCCCGTACACCGACCCCAGCAGAAAAGAAGTATAGCCAGATAGAGAAAGAAGCTCTTGCCCTTGTGTTTGCTGTTCGCCGTTTCCATAAGTTTCTGTACGGTCAGAGATTCACACTCCTCACAGATCACAAGCCTCTGTTAGCAATATTTGGTTCAAAGTCTGGCATTCCAGTCCATTCTGCAAATCGTCTTCAGCGATGGGCCTTGGTACTTTTTGGGTATGATTTCGAAATCCAATATCGACGTACTCTACAATTAGGTCAAGCAGACGCTTTGTCACGACTCATTAATGATCAAGTGGCGGCTGAGGAAAACATGGTGATCGTATCTCTGCCAGTAGAAGACCACGCAGAATGTTATCTGACAACCGCAGTTCGCGCATTACCAGTGTCTGCAACCGACATACAAAATGCTTCTAGAAACGACCCCATCATCAAGATGACGATGAAATATGTCACTAACGGTTGGCCGTCGAAAAAGTTTGAAGGTGACATGAAGCAACTGTATCAGCGGCGGGAGTCACTATGCATCGTCAACGATTGTCTGATGTTTGGTGAAAGAGTAGTGGTGCCAGCATCCCTTCGTGCAAAAGTGATGAGAAAGTTCCATCTTGGTCATCTTGGGATTAAACGAATGAAGTCCATAGCCAGGAGTTATGCATACTGGCCTCACATGGATCAACATGTCACAGCGTTGGTTGAAAAATGCATGCGGTGTCAGCAGGCGGCAAAGATGAATGCCAAAATTCCGCCGGTTTCATGGCCCAAACCTGAGCATCCTTGGTCCAGGATACATGTCGACTTCGCTGGCTCAATAAATGGAACTATGTATTTGATTGTCGTCGACGCATTTTCTAAATGGCCGGAAATCAGCCCCGTTAGGCCGCCCACTACAACTAAGACTATGCAGCTCCTAACTGAAATTTTCTCACGAAATGGTATACCAGATGTGATCGTATCCGACAATGGCTCTCAATTCACCTCCACCCAATTCCAAAATTTCTGTCAACGGCTAGCCATTAAACACTTACGCTCGCCACCATACGACCCGCAATCAAATGGGCAGGCGGAAAGGTTTGTGGATACGTTTAAAAGAGCACTGCTTAAGTCAAAAGGGGAGGGGACGCCAGCCGAAGCGTTACAAAATTTCTTGTACGTCTATCGGACAACACCAAATGAATTGTTACCGGAGCAAAAGTCCCCAGCTGAAATCCTGATGGGAAGAAGATTGAAAACGATCCACAGCCTGATGCATCCGACTAATGCACCCTCGTCAGTAGAGACAAAGCAGCAAAGACAATCCGCTTACGAAGTAGGATGCCCTGTTTGCACGCGACTACAGAACGAACCATGGTCCTTGGGTAGAAGCTAGAGTGGTCAGAAGGGTTGGTCGAGTTATGTACGAAGTAGAGGTAGGAGGTGATAAATGGTCACGTCATCGGAATCAGATACGCAGACGGCTAGCCCCAGATCGTCCATCAAGAGCAGAAAGCCTTCCCCTTGACATCTTCCTTGATACCTTCAACCTACCGAGAGCCCCGCCACGAGAAGAAACTCAGCAGCAAGCTGTTCTTCGTTCCCGAAGGTATCCCCTCAGACAGCGGCGAACAATAGTCAAGATGCAAGTCGACCTCAGGAGAACACGCTATTGAAAAGGGGAAGAGTGTTGGGGATGTTAGATCCCCAAAATTTGCTTATAATGCCGTATTTTGGTTTTCACGTTTTGCCAGCATGGGCTGATCAGATGACCTTGAGATTTCAATTCCCACCAGGAAAATCCATGGCTGTGATTGGCTGCTGTGTATTTTAGTATGCTATTTTCCTAACTGTCTCAAGGACGTTCCTGTGTTGTATAAATAAACGAGAGTTGTATGCTTGATTGTACTGTGATTGCTGGGTGTTTGTAGAATATACTTTCTACGCTTACAAAGCCTTCTATTTCGATTTTGGGTATTCAAGTTAGCCTCCCTGGAAGCTGGTAAAAGTCTCGTTCGCGTTTATCGACTAAGGTAAACTCGTAATAGCCTCAAGCATACTAAGTGACGAACTTATCACAGATAAGGTTAGAAAGAAAAAGGTAGAGGTGCTGACGATTCCAGAAGATTAGGATTTGAGAGAGCACAACGAATGGATGCACTTGCACCATTGCAAACAATTTTGAGTCATGTCGTTCAAGGTCTTTAACCATTGGTGACTTTCGCCTCGCGGAACCCAACCAGGTAGTCTACATCTACCAACATCACTCAGTCCACTTGTCAGTGACTTCATCGATTTGTACCATGTTTTTGTTTGGCCGCCCGTAGCTTTCTTCCAACCTATTCCTACATTACAAAACATAGCTCGTCGAAGCAGTCGGTGGTTCGGCATTCGTAACACATGTCCCAACCACCTCTTTCACCACTTCATCTATTGTTCTGCCATTCTTACCTAGCACCCGTTTCCTAACGACAGCATTGCTTACTCAATTATCCCACAATATACAAGCAATGCTTCTTAAACATCTATGATCGAATACTAGTAACCTACAAACATCTTCTACTCTTAACGGCCATATTTCACAGCCATATAAGGAGAACGGAGCGCGAACTGCTGCACAGTACACCCGTCCTTTTTGGTTAGCGAACGGATGCATACCTACTGCTGATGGATAATGAGTCCTATACTAAGACAAAATCAGTCATTCAGTACTTCCATATTGCTAACAATGATATCAATTCATCAGTTCAATCAAAAACTCATTGATTTTCATAATTCTATCATGTAAAAAGAAGGATAATAATTGCTTCAGTAATAGATACACGCATTTATATATGCAATATGTGTATCTCAATTATTTTATTGATTTTTATTGTTATGCAAAATAATTTATAACATATCTTGTAAAATTATGTGTATATATATAATAATAATAATAATAACAAGAAAAACACAATAAAAATAATTATTTTTTTTTATCATAAACAATTTCTAAAAATTAAAATTAAAAATAAAATAAAATTAAATTAAATTAATTTAATAAAAAGGTGAAAAAACACAATTGTTTATTTATTTTCTTTTTTGTAGAAAGAAAAAAAAGAGAAAATAAGATAAACAAACAAACGAACCAACCAATCAACGCAGCTGACCAACTAACCAACTAACCAATCAGCAACAACGAACCAATCAACCCAGCTGACCAAGTAACCAACCAATCAGCAATAAGTAAACACCATAATTGAATAATAAAAAATCAGTAAGTACACACAGGGAGAGAGAAAATTACATAAACAAACAAACAAACGGAGAAAGAAAACACAAAAACAAATGTCAACAAATTAAATAGATAAATAAAATATATCTCATCTCATCTTGTTATTTGTGTGTGTGTGTGTGTGTGTACAGAACCGTTTTAATTTGAATTGATGTGAATTATTTCAATATGAGAGATATGAGATTTAGTAGGCGTTGTTGAATGTTTTGTAATTCAGGGGGTAAAGAAGAAGAAGAAAAAAGCGCGCCAACGTCGTGTATACACAAAACAAATGATAAAGAAATTAGGTAGATTCCAATGTAACAAGAGCACACTCACACACGCACACACACACACTATCAGGTAGACATATAAAAAAAAAGAGTGAGGCATAGGCAATAATTAATGAATGTGAACAACAAGGGGGGGATTCATTCATTTAAGATCAAGGTGTTATGTAATGTAATGTAATGTTGTGTTATGTAACAACAAAAACAAACCAATCATATATTTATTTATTTAAAAATAATTAATAAAGAAAATCTGTACACATAGCAACAACAACAACACAACACAACAACAGAACAAGAAAACAAAACTGACCAAAAACTTGATCGAATCCATAAAATAAATATTTAAATAATAATAATAATTAACTGGACAGAATATTTTAAAACCATAAAATATAATAATAATAATAATAATCATACAAGTGTCGAGATAGAAGACAAATGCCTTTTTATATGAATGAAAGTAAAGAATAATAGAAAGTGTGCAATACCAAATAGTATTTATATATATATATGTATTGGAATGCACATTTTTAAAGAAATACAGAGTGAGTTCATTGTACAAAAAAAAGGAAATAACAAACTTTAGTGTAGATAATGTTTACACACGCACACACACATGGATGGATTAATTTCAAACAGTTGTATAATTAGAGAGAGATAGAGAGAACCAATATGTACAATACAATACATGAACAGAGAATATACAGGAATGATAGAAATCAATATGAGAATAAAACAAGAAACAACAACCAAATTACCGCCTCCCCCGCTCCCCCCTTTTTCCCCACACACCTACCAGTAGGTAGGTAGGTAGGTAGACAGAGAATTTCACATATCCCCTCCTTTCTTGAATTGTCTTTGAATCTTTGACTCTTTGACGATTTGAACAATAGAAAGAATGGATGAGGTAAACAAACTTATTTATTTTAAACCAATATATATATATATATGCAGGATTTTTATTATAGAATATATAGTCGTCGTTAAAACAATATAAAAACAGTGCAAACAAAGAGAGATGTTGGAAAAGTTCAAATTGGAAATGCTTATCATTGTGTATAAGATGAATAATTCAAAACAACCATTTATACACATAGTGTACTACTACTCTTAGTTTATTTTACACAGGAGAATGAGTAGTAGTAGTAGTAGTAGTAGTAGTAGTAGTGTGAGTAGTAGTAGAGAATATTCATTCAGGGAAAATCATTTTGTATTTTCTTTCCTCTGTAAAATTTATTTTTCAAATATGTTTTAGTAGTATGTCATCTGTCTATCTCTCATGGTAGTTCATGATTTTTTAAGACAAGGTGATTTCACCGTAACATAAAGTGGTACTTGAGATTGTTGACATTTAACAGGTGAAGAGGATTTACAACAACATAATGTAGACGATGATGATGAGGATGAAGGTGGTGCTGGTGAGGTTGCAGAAGGTAAATAATAATCAGGATTTGTTGGATTCGTTGAAGATTCATGTTGATTGGATAGTTGTGGTTGTTGCTGTTGTGGTGGTGGTTGTTGTCGGTTTTCAATTGGATGGAGGGTTATTTCATCGGAACAACATGTTGATTGAGGAGTATATTTGATATTTTCTTCAGTAGCCGCCTAAGAATGTATAACACATAAAAATACAATCAATTTATGATAGTTCTATATATAAATATAACTCCGCCAGTAGAACCTTCAGGTCTATTGCCGGTCCCAAGCCCGAGTAAAGGAGGAGGGTTGGCGACCCCATTTTCCTCGAAATCTAACTTGTCAAAAAAAACGCTAACCAGAAAAACTAATTCAAACCATTTTAACTCTGCCTTGGGAGTTGGAAGAAGAATTATGATGTCGCGTGATGAAAGCCGACTTCCCTCGGAAGTCACGGGGCCGATTCCTCTTCTGACAACCAGAGCAACCGTTCTTTTAGGTACATGGAACGTTTGTACATTGTGGGAGACTGGAAGACTATTTCAACTTGCGGCAGAAATGAAAAGATACAACCTCGAGGTGCTCGGCATCAGTGAAACGCATTGGACACAGGTAGGACAACTGAGACTAGCTTCAGGAGAACTGCTGTTATACTCTGGTCATGAAGAAGAAAATGCTTCACATACACAAGGAGTTGCACTAATGCTGTCCAAACATGCACAAAAGGCACTGGTAGGATGGGATATATACTTGTATGCATTTAAATATCAATCAATCATATTATTGTTACGCATGCACGTAAACATGTCATTTTGATATGCTTGAACTATTACGAGTTTACACCTTAGTTGGGAAACGAGAGCGAGGACCGAGGATTCGGCGACACGACATGCTTCTCTAATCTGAGTGTCCCAACCCCCATAATGAATAAAAATAAGACTTGATATTGTTGGGGATGTTAGATCCCCGAAATTCGCTTGATAAATGCCTTATTTTGGTTTTCACGTTTGCCAGCATGGGCTGATCAGTTGACCTTGACATTTCAATTCCCACCAGGAAAATCCATGGCTGTAGTTGGCTGCTGTGTATTTTAGTGTGCTATTTTGCGTAACTGTCCGAAGGACGTTTCTATGATGTATAAATAAACGAGAGTTGTATGCTTGATTGTACTGTGATTGCTGGGTGTTTGTAGAATATACTTTCTATGCTTACCAAGACTTCTGTTTTACCGTTTGGATTTAAGGTAGCTTACCTGGACACTGTTAAAAGTCTCGTTCGCGTTTATCGACTAAGGTAAACCCGTAATAGCCTCAAGCATACTAGTGACGAACCTAACAGATATGAAGTAGAACCTTTATTCTATAAACACTCAGAAAGTACGAGGTTCGGGGGGTCGGGGTCATAAAACGTTATAGATAATGCGTATTTATACAGTTACATCGAATAGGAACCAACATTAAAGTACGTGACATTGACAGTTAGGACCAGTAGGAATCGACCAATAGGAATGCGCCAGTAGAGATTAGACTTACAAATTATTCTCTTAGGATATTGGATGAATATCCTAACAGTTATGAACTGTGAATAAGTGTAGAATAACAACTGGATTGTGGAATCCACATGATTATCATAGCTAATAGTTATAGTAATGAGATAATATGGTAACGGAGTCAAAATCACTATGTATGATGTTGCTAACTTGTTCCGTTTACTTTCTGTTTCAGGGCGATCAAACACAAACGCTTTGGAAGCTGAAGAACAAGCCCTAAGTGCTCTAAACTTACAGGATGACTCATAAGATATTGGTACACTACCTACCCTATTCCTGTAAAAAATCCCGCGTATTTGATTTTCAAATAAAAGAGTGCCGTGACAACAACCTCGTGTTCTCTCTTGGTGTGAGGTGTTGAACTAACCTTGTGTGTTGTGATTTTAGATCCTCTCTGACCTTCAGTGACTGCTGATTACGCGTGTTACGATATGGCTTAGAATCGATTACTTCATCTTGCCAATGTCATCTATCTTTAAGTAATGACAACCCTTGAACTGATATATATATATATATATATATATATATATATATATATTGCATTGCGGGGTTGTTGTGAAGATTGTTAAGTTTTATTTGTAACCATGAATCGATCAATGTTAGACCACCATTAGAAACCTGGAAGCACTGGACGGCCGTTTCGTCCTGGTATGGGACTCATCAGTGGTCTAACATTGATCGATTCATGGTTACAAATAAAACTTAACAATCTTCACAACAACCCCGCAATGCAATGAAATGTGTCCACTAGTGACTAGCTTGGTGAGGAATCTTCTCCGAGTTCTAGTGGTAAGTCGTGACCAGTGAAGTTCAAACCTGTCCGGATGTATACAGGGTATGAGGTCGCGCAACTCCGTGGATTTGATCAAGTTAGACATTAACACCGTTAGATACCGACTCAGTGGTCTAACGGTTAGGGCGTTCGCGCACAATACCGAAGGTCCTGGGTTCGAATCCTGCGAGGTGCAGGAGTCGTGGGTGTGCACTGCTGATGAGTCCCATACCAGGACGAAACGGCCGTCCAGTGCTTCCAGGTTTCTAATGGTGGTCTAACGTTGATCGATTCATGGTTACAAATAATATATATATATATGATAGATTCCAATGTGATTAAGACTGTTAACTTTTATTGTCATAGTTTATGCAACTAGTTTTAACATCATCACTGAATGTGATTGTGTTATGTCATCCAAATATATCACATTCTTTGATCTATTTGAGTGAGAATATTTATGAATCGAAGCGAAACAATGAAATTTGAATAGACCATCGATCATCCGGATTATTTACACGACAACAATATTGTGTTACTGAACTAATTTGCTAGTAGCGTAAAATAAGACCATAAAAGTTTTTTTAAACTAAGATAAACCAATGTGTTACGGTTCATTAAAATGATTTCAATGAACAAACAGATAGTTTGAATGCTCAGAATATATATGTGGTGCGAGCTACTTATAAGTGTAGTATATGACGTGAGTTTCAACCTAATGTCTGGCAGCAGAAGATGGGGGAAGATCAAGCAAGAAAGGAAGAGTTAGAACACAATGGAATTTGTATGAAACGCATGAATAGTGACAATGGATTGATGTTGTTTGCAACAGGAACAGTCCAGTTCGATATGATGAACTGATATTTTGCAAATGAACGATTTACGACGATATGGTTTTCCGATTTTACAGCATTTTACTACATATATATAGTTCAAGTAGATCAATGGAGAGTATATACTATTTTTCTAAATACTAAATTCATTTTGTGATTCAGTAATGTTTGTGACCAAGTATATGCGACCACTAGATTGGATACTAGAATGATAAACATCATAGAAAATAGATCACTACTTTATTTTATGTCATATACTTGATTCACGATCGAAATTGTGAACCAACGTAAGGCTAGATATTACTTTATTCTATACAATCACAAGTAACCATTATTAGTGAACCCAGGGTAGAAATCAACAATATGGAAGGAAATCACATATTTAAAATAGTCACTAGGCTATGTCTTCTGTCTGTTCACGCTCAATCAACTGATTGATCATAAATAACACTTCAATAATAGTAAGATTTTATGTCTCCTAGTTAGTAGTGTGCAAAACAACTAAACACAATTTAATGTCTACTAACTAAATCAATCTTTTAGTTTAAATTATCAACTGATACTGTACACTAATTCATTGCCCAGACTTTTATACCTTACTTACCCTCGCATCATATTCACCGTTTAATTTCTGTTCATTTAAATTCTTTCTAGACAAAGTTATCTAAAATTTTCTATTTATTCAAATGAAATAAATTAAATTATTATCTATTAATATTTTTTTAATGACATATTTGGACAAAATGATGTTAATTATTATTTATATATAAGCTAATGAGATTTCACATTTTATCAAGGTTGTTCACATGCCCTTCATTCTGATTGGATGAGACGAATGGTAGGAGGATGATATGATTTAGAGGTGGTAGTCCTAACCACTGCCTTCCGGTGGCACAGGTGTTGTTTACGAGATTGCGAGAGCGAAGAGCAAGTGTCTGACAACCAAACTGAATTTCTGGGTATGGAGGATTCACCTGGATGAGTTATAAAACCTTGATTCTAAACCTCCATCACTTCTTATATGATCTCGTCAGTGAGTCATAAGTAGAAAAACACAATGAATGAAAATCAGCAGTTATTGAACACGTGACAATATGGAGATCAATGTTTAATAATAATAATTCAAACAAAACGTCCAATAAAAAACATACGAGCAACTTTTGAATACAGACAAGCAAATGTTAATCATGTCAAATTAGGACTAAATGAATAAGTGACCAATCAAATCGCAGATTTTGAACGCCCACTACACACACACTGACTCATTATGACCTTGTGTAGTGTGGTCTGTTTTCGTTTGACGTCATAATCTTTTTAGGTACATAATTGCTAGTCATATAATAAGTATATCCATTGATTGTATCGCCAATTACTTTTCGATACATATAAGAATATTTTAATTTTCACTTGGGAATAACAATTATTTCGTATTTCCATACTACTTACAATATATGAGGTAATAAGAGCCAATTAATTTCAACTGTAACTCTATATATATACATTATAGTATGAATATATTACATCGTGTTAAATATCATTTAGACAAATGGTGGTGGTAGGAAGAAGCTGTCAACAATTAAATTTACGTGTTAAATTGACATATTGCTTTAGGCATAATTAAGTAGTAACATAATTATCAGATAATTCCAAAGCCACACTGATAGATAGATGTGGGTGGTTCAACATTTTGATTATTGATTGTCTGCTTGTTTTATGTTATATGAGTTGCTGAGAGAAATTAGCCAGTAATTAGCTCATAAACTATATGTTTCCTGTTGGTTGATGGTACTCGTCAACCAGACAAATCTCTAATTTACATTTAGTAATAGTATGAAAAAGTTGTTTTATTACATAACAATAATATAAGAAAAAAGAGAAAATAGTTAAGATTGATCGGTAAATCGTAAAAGGAGAAGAAAAGAGTGAAGTTGTAAACAATAGGAAAAACACCGTGTCATTACTATAAGGCTGAGGAGACTGTTGAGTTTCGTTGCAATCATGAGTCGACCAATGTTAGATCACCACTAGACGGTCG